CTATTATCTAAACAGTATCCAGATCGGATTTATGGCCTAAAGTGAGATAATTAGGCCACAATGACTGATAATCTGTCTGATATCTTGATTCCAAAATGAACGCCATAAGCATAACTTAACAATATGACTCTTTTATCAGACGAAGTTAGTCATAGTCATTATCATCTGCCCCTAACTTTCCAAATGTTCATGCTTAAAAAGCACTTTGACTTTGATGCCATCACGCTTTTATGTCAAAACAAATAGAGCACTAATTCATTAAATAATCTTAGTACTAAGAATATGCGAAAGACACTTCGGGCATCGGGGATCGCGGGACGATCTCCGGCTACCGTAAGCACGGGCCTGCGGACGGCGACCATGGGTGGCTCGCCGCCCGACCAGACCATAAGAGTCTGACATTCCCTCCCGCCTCACCCAGGCGGGAGAAGGCATTCGATGATTTCACCCCATTAAAAAAAAGTACTAAGAATATGTTGACTAATTAAAGAGATAGAATGTAATGACTCACAGTGGGTTCTTAGAAGATTCTAAGAGGCTAAAGCTACGCTGAATTTAATTCACTGATGATGTACTGTATTGATTTTATCCTGGATAACACTTTAGTCTTTATAACATAAAATAATTCGGAGCAGGAAAGAGCTTCTCTATATAATAGCATTGTGTGGAAATGAAGGTTCTTGGAACCTGACCTATTGATACTTACTGCAGAATAAAATTGATTTTATCGTCTAATTATTTTACTATTGTGTGTAAATCAGACATACGTACGCACATTCATCATTTAGTTCTAAGTATTTCCAATAATATCAATGATAACTTAGTTGACATAAAGACTACAAAGCAATCATTATCTATAAATCAAATCACACTCGTACATAGCATTTTAATGGCTTTATAGAACAATATCAAATTCAGAATGAGTGTCAAAAAATGCAATGCATGATGAAATCATGGTCACCATGACATGATTAGACAGTTAGGTCATCTTTGATAATAAAACAAAGCTCACGTGTTTGTTTGTTCGTTCATCTGTTTGTTTGGTTTCGCAGCTACCTCTAGAATTACTAATAAAGTTTTTAATTTTCTGTGGATAGTTATAGCTATGTTTGTGATAATTGTTACACCTAATTGATTAATTAGAAATTTGGAATTTTGATAATATATTGAACAAGGCCTGTGTACGTGAATACTGTTGAACAGGACAGAAGATTAAGAAGGTTTTCGTTCGGTTGGGAGAAGGCCAATTTTTTTTTGTTTTTTTTTAAACGTTGCCCCGCACTAGCATTTTCTCATGTGTCGTGGGTGTGTTTACAAACATACAATATCACATACACATAACACCCAGACCCGGAACAACAATCTGTGGATCACACAAAGAGTTGTTCCGTGCGGGAATTGAACCCGCGACACGTTGCGCGGCAGCTAGTCGTCCAGCCACCGCGCCAACCGTGCAGTCAATTAAAATTGGCCTTCTTCAATTTTCATAAGCCTTTTATTAACTAAAGTTATCCAAAATAATTTAAATTGTTTACTAAAAGACTGCCTCGTTGGCGGAGTGGTCGCAAGTGCGACTGCCGGGCAAGGGGCATCGGGTTTGATACCCGGGTCGGGCAAAGTATTACTAGGTTTAAAAAAAACCTCAGTAGTAGCACGGAGTCTGGAATTGTGCCCGGTATATGGCAATAGGCTCACCCCCTATTACATGGGACCCAAACATAAATAAAGTGGCCTATCCCTTCGGGGATAAAAGGCGTGATGTTATGAGTGAGTTATATTTACTAAATCGAGGTATTTAGCAAACAGTTTAAATGTGACGTCATTGTTAGACGTCTACTTAAACCACATGTGTTATTGTATTATGTAGGTACCTACAAACGTTTGAAAAATTAATCTTATCTCATTACTTCATTGGAAGTCAAAATATGTTCAAAGTGACCTAATTAAGTCTAGACAAACAACTGTTCCAGAACAAAGCACTTAATAGATTTTTTATAATCGATTAAATTCCTAGAATGAATGAATTAGCCTTTGTCTGTTAAAATTAAACAATCGACATTAAAATAAAGCTTCATAAATCCTTATTGATTTAAACTCCTGTTCATGTTCATATATTTGCCTATTAACATACGTACATATATACACAATCATATTGTAAATATTATCCACTTAAATACCATGACATAATACTCAAATAATATCAATGATTTACTCATATGAATAGAGAAAAAAACAATAACTAAGACATTGAAGAATGACTATAATAAAATAAAATAAATAAATAGATGATGTTAACTCACTATGTTTATATATTTGTCTGCCTGAATGGGATAAGCTTAAAAACTGCCCGTTTGCCTCTTATTCCATAAAAAAAACAAAAAAGACAGATTTATTTACTACTACGACTGTATTGGTTTGCTGCATAGATATATTAAAGAACATTTCTGTGGTTTGCTGAGTATGTAATTTACGGAGCCGCAGAGAACATTAACGGGTTGCTGGGGCTCCGGCTCGAAGTGCAGGAGTAGGAACAGGGTGGTTTTTAGTCAGTAAGAGCTGACACTCTCTCTCGCCTCACCCGGTTGGGAGAAGTCATTGGATGATTTTCCCCCTAAAAAAATATGTAAAACTCAATCTTATAATAACCGTAATTCAGTTCATTTTGTACCACATGCTCAGCTGTTGAGATTACAATAGGGTAGACGACTAATTTTTATTTTAATGTCCGTCTGATAGATTACTTAAAAACATTAGACACGTATTTTTTATTTTCTCACAGAAACAAATAGTTTCGAAGATATATTGATTTGAAATGTCGCGTGACGTCACTTCTCAGTACATTTTATACTAAGAAATGACGTTTTAGCCCCCACTCCTTAACTTTGATTCGTTTTATCTAAGTATTGTATTATTACACGACAAAATAAAAAAATACGTGTCTAATATTTTTTAATTACCTAACTTACGGACTAATCATATTTTTAATTTTCATACCCTGTCATCATCCCCATTATGTACACACGGCAACACATCAATCTATACAAAACCAGTTTATCCTGGAGTCGCGTCGCATCATCTTTCCGCACATTTAACGTTCAGTTTATGCTGGTTGTGTAAAACTCGATATGTAGCCGTGTGTACAAGAAACAAGCCACGCATTATTTAACTTCTACACATTAGTCTAGCGTTTTGTATACTTTTTGCTAAACAAACAAACACAATGAAATAGATGTTCCTTGTATAGTTTAGTAACATACATTACATGTTTATTTTCATATGTTGTCGCCTTGTTATGAACGTCTGAACTGATACAATAAAGATATTGTTATTTTTTTATATAGACAACCATGTGTTGCGATGTTCAAGACAACAGATTAAATTAAATTGTAGGCCATGTTTATTAGTAGGATGTATTTTAAATTTTAAACTAGGACTTAATGGAACGTGATTTTTTTTTTCTTATTGGTGATAAGGTTCTATTTATGAATCCCTAACTTTTTTAATGGCCTTAATTAAGATACACATTATATGAATAAAACACATTATATGATATCTAAATGTTTCATTATGTTAAATGAATAATTATAAAAAAATGTTAATGTTGAAAGCTTTTTAAAGACAACTTAAACAACAAAGAATATTCCATGCATGTTTTAATAAATAATTCTATTTATCAAGCTATTTTTTTGATTTGATCTCTCAACAAAAACCTATATATTTTACTCGTGTTATTATCTTATGTATATATGTAATGAAATGACATTTCATTAATTTGAATTTGCCGCGCTTCGCGCTTGTTCGTGCATTTATAGGTTGTCTGTGGAACCCATTATAACAATCTAAAAAAAGTTTGTAGTTTTCTAGAAGATAATTTAATATTAAAAATTATAATCGAGGAGGCGATAGTAAACTTTAAATGTCGTTTCTTTGTATTTTCAGGTGAGATTTAAGAATAATTGTCATAGTTATATGATAAGTTGCAATATTGTAAAGGTTTATTAATTAAAACAATAACTTTGTATTTTCAGAGAAACAATTTGTGGTTTATCTTATATATATATATAATAATATATCTTATATATATATATATATATATATATATAAGTACAGAGACACCATGAACTTTTCTGTTATACTTGTCATCATGACAATATAATCGAGCGCCATGGAAACGATTAATTAATCGAAATCTAATTTATAATCGTCCTGCTGACTTATACCTTGATCTTTGTACCATTTCATGTCTCAATTAGACGAGTAATTTATTATGTATTGTTTTATATTATGAATGAATCGATTTATCTTATTTATTTATTTATTTATTTATGATTTACCAACATTTGTTTACACCAATACAATTGTCGAGATACAAATGTGAGTTCTTTACAGTAAGTGTAACAAATACTTATAGGTAAATACAGCATTTACAAAATTATTATCTTACATCTAAAACAAACTTGATATTAATTTTTAACAGGAAAATCTTATGTTTGTAAGTTAAGAGACAGATTTAGCAATTAATCTAGGGTGATAGGAAATGCCCTTTGATCACACGACGATTTTAGCCTTCGACGTCAAAGACGTGGTAAAATATACGGTTTAATATAATATGCAAAATATGAGTCAAACAAACATTTCTGTTTTTGAAGTCATAGTTGTACTACATTGTAAAATATTTAACATAGGATTCATAGAAAGAAAGATAATATTCTGAATAATTCTCAGTAGTAGCACGGGGTCTGGAATTGTTCCCGGTATGTGGCAATAGGCTCATCCCTACTACATGGTACTTATAACATAAATAGTGAAAAGTGGGTGTTACATTGTACAGTGATATTAAGTGCCGTAATGTGCACCTCTGACTACCCCTTCGAGGATAAAAGGCATGACATTATGTATGTTATATTCTTTATTTTTTTTTTTAATTTACCCTAATTACTCCATTTTCGGACATTGCCTAGTTGGCATCATCACATAAAATTAATTGGCATCTAGTAAAAGTGAATCATTTTGTCTAGAAAACTTAACACTTACTTGTCTCTAATGAACTCATTGTTATTGTTTCAGAACACAAAATGTACAGAGAAAGTATGTCTATCGAGTATAATGAGCATCCCCGGCAGAGAAGAGAAGGTGCGCAGTCCAGAAGAAGTTTACCAAGAGGCACAAGTGTTTCTTAGACAATACTACGCTTCTATTCGTAGGTAAGTCAAACTGTTTATATATATTTAACTAGCGACCCGCCCCAGCTTCGCACGGGTGCAATATGTATGAATTACACATATAAACCTTACTTAAGAAAAACTCTATCTATTAAAAAAAACCGCATCAAAATCCGTTTCTTAGTTTTAAACATCTAAGCATACATAGGGACAGACAGACGGCAGATAGCGACTTTGTTTTATACTATGTACTGAAGCCTACCTATTAACTTAGCTTTAGTTTCGAGAAGATTATGGGTCTACAGTCAGCTAAATTCAGTCAGTAAGAATGGCAGAGCGCCTACATTATATGGTGAACATTCCACCCATTTGCATGAAGGGTTTCGGATCAAGTTTTCTTACGCGAACCGCTAAGGAATGGAATTCCTTGCTGGAATCTGTGTTTACCGACAAATATAGTACAACTTGGGTGTCTTCAAGTCCTGAGTGAATACTTGAACAGGTTGCTCATAGGTAGGCTCCATCGTCGACCACATCATCGCTTACCACCAGGCAAGATGGTGGCCAAGCGACAACCTATCAAGTATACCTGACATCCAGAATTTTCAAATCTCTAGTCAGAATAGGCCGGTAATTTGTATGCTCGTTTGCTATCTTGTAGGTAGTAAAAAAAATCTTTTTCTTCTCTGTCGTTTCGCTCTTGGCAGAGCGGTCGTGGTCACGTTGAGGCGGCCGTATTTGTGTTGGTGGCCGATACAGCTTTCCTCACGATCTCCCGCCATCTCTCTCTGTTTGTGGATTGTCTGGCGCAGTCTGACACTGGGTTTCCCGTTGCCGATTTGACTTGATCAGTCCAGCTCATAGGTGATCTGCCTCGTGATCCGGTTCTGGTGGTAAAAAAATAGGATGAGCTTATAATTCTGTATTAATTGAGTCATCGTAGTAGTCATAAGTGCAACTGTTGAGCAAGAGGGTTTTAACTTCAAATAGTAGTATATTAGTACCTATAGTAGAGTCTAGAACTGGGTAGTCTATGCTATAACAAAATTAACCTGTTTAGTCAATGAATAATAAGTTACTACGAATACCTGACTAACAATAAATCACATTAAAATAAAATAATAAATATTAAAAAAGATGCAACGCAAAATATACACAATAGGTATAAACAGATTTTCCCTATGACCTCTATAATAATATTACATAGATATATTTATTAAATTTTTCCTGTTATTAAAAAAAGTTGATTTGTGTCTAGTATTTGGAATCGAATCCTGTCCTGACCTTGCCAACTTAATAATATGTAGACAGCTAAAACATCTTCAAGAGTATTTTAAACATATACATTCATGCTTTATTAAACACTAGGCAACTTAAACTAAGTGATTAGCCTGCCTTGGAAATCGGGTGATCGTATCCCGAGTCAGGCAAAGATTTTTTTATTCGCAGTGAATAGGTTGCTTATGCGACGACGTGCTCCATCGTAGACCGCATCATCGCTTACCACCAGGCGAGATAGTGTATAAACGTCGGCCCACCAATAATAAAAAAAATGTACTTACTTAGTCGTCAATCTTACTGTATCTAAATTAACTAAAAATAACGGATTACTCACGTAAATATACTTAAAAGGTCTCCTATACTTGAGTGGAAAGAAACTGAGCCGCCAGCGTTTTTTATTAAATTTTTGATTAATTGTTTCTGGTACAAGTATTTTATTAATTGGTACTAATGTATTTCATCATCAACAACCTATAAATGCCCACTGCTGAGCAAAGCCTCTTCTCACACGGAGAAGGTTAGAGCATTAATCACCACGCTTGCTCAATGCGGGTTGGCGATTTCAAACTTATAATTAGAAATTATAAGTTCAGGTTTCCTTACGATGTTTTTCCTTCACCGTTTGTCAGTGGTGTCTAAATAATCTTAGAAAGTACATATAACTCGGAAAAAGTCACATTGGTACTTGCCGTTGGTAGGTTACGAACCCGCACCCTCATGCATGAGAAGTGGGCGTCTTAAACCTCCGGGCCACCACCACGACTAATGTATTTACTACCTTTGAAATGAGAGCCTTTTGTTGTAAAACGATCATATTATTTTAAAGTTATAGAGGGTTCGATTCAATGGAAAAACGCTAGTCTAACTAGTTTATATATCCCCAAATGGTCACCGGTGACCGCTCTCCACTAACTACATTATAGACCTTATTTCCAATGTTTAGAGACTACTTTTGTATGAACAGATTTAGGAGATGGTTTTCAACAATTTCCAACTGGTTAACTAGCTCCGATTTTTTGCTCCAGAGTGTAGTTTCGAGTCATAGAGGGACTTTTTCTCATGAAGAGAGAGAAGTGTTTAAAATTGCACTCAATACGTACGATTGTGGCATCATCCCCCATTACATAGGTCTCATAGCTTATGTAACAGGTGAATAGCTACATTGAATTGTTTATCTAACATTTTGAGGACTAAATGACGAGATACAATGTTATTTTATATTCTTGTCAAGCAAGAAGATTGATTCAGAACCGGTTAAGAACTTTAATCAAGAATTCATTTCCTTTGACTTATAAAAAAGGAAGGGATTTAATGAAAGAAATTATTTGATTGGCTGAAAAAGCGAATCGAAGTAATGCATTTGTATTCTTCTTATTACAAGAAAAGGGTTGATGGGTAGTAAAAATGATTAGAAGTTCAGATTTCTTAAGGTATATTTTAAGACAGCTAATCCATTCTTACGTGTGACAGAAGACTAAGAAAATAGAACTTGTCATTGATTAAAATTATTAGGTGCCGATTTTTTCAACTTCATATAAATTTAACTACGGAATGACTTTAAATATTTGACTTGAATACTTTCGCACTAAAAGTGTCAGTTAATATCAATTTTATTATATAGTTAAAAATTAACTAGTCATTGAAGCGCTAAGTTATATAATTTGAAATAAATGCGCATAATTGATTCATGCACACATCATAAAGCATACAAATTTAAAGAAAAGTTTAGTTTATTCCTTCATTAATTAAAAAAAAAACCACACGGTTTTAGAACTTTTAGTGAGATTCTCCAAAATCAACCATACTAGTGTGGGAGAGCCATGCTTCGGCACGAATGGGCCAGCTCGACCGGAGTGATACCACAGCTTCACAAAAAAACAACGTGAAGCACCGCTTGCGTTGTGTTTCGTCGTGTGAGTGAGGTTACCGGAGGCCCAATTACCCTCCCCTTCCTCAATCTCCCAATCAATCCTCAAATTCCTTATCCCCAAAAGGCCGGTAACGCACTTGTAACGCCTCTGGTGATCCTGATATCCATGGGCGACGCCGATTGCTTGCCATCAGGTGATCCTTCAGCTCGTTTACCGGCTTATGCCATAAAAAAAATACAAAGTTTTGCTCATTTTTGCAATGTAAGTTGTCAAACTTGGTACCAACTTTATTTTTAAGCTAGAATGTTCCAGAGATGTATAACAATAATAATATATTTTATTGTCTTATTACCAGTTGTCTAAATGTTAAAACTGTAATAAAGATGTATGCTAATATACATTAGCATTCTAATTACATTTTACTATTTAAAAACGATAAAGTATTATAAAATTAGTCCAGTTTTTTAAATTGCTATTTTTTATGATTTGTCGTCTATCAAAACACATTTATTTAATGTAACACAGCAATAGCTTGGCAATCAATAGGGATGATGGCAGGGTATGAAAATTAAAAGTCTAATTAGTCCGTCAGTTAGATAATGAAAAAATATTAGATACGTATTTTTTTGACGTATCAGAAAACAATACTTAGATAAAACAAATTCAAGTTTCAAAGTGGGGGTTTGCCACGTCATTTTCGTCTACAAAAACGTGACGTCACGCGGTACTTCAAATCAATATATCGTCGAAAGTATTTGTTTCCGTAAGAAAAAAAAGAATACGTGTCTAATGTTGTTCACTAATTTACCAGATGGATAATAAAATTATAGTTAGTCACCTACACTATTGTTACCCGGGATTCGATTCCAAAATAGTCAAAGTCAAAGTCAAAGTCAAAATCATTTATTTCAATTAGACCAGGATGGCACTTTTGAACGTCAAACAACAAAAATTTATAAGTGAAGCTAGTTGCTCATTCCAAGGCGTAGATTCCTATGGAGAAGAACGAGCAAGAAACTCCATAGGTTACTCTTTTTCAATCAGGTTTACAATACAATTCTCTAGTTACATAGTTTTATTGGTTCGATTATGTGAGAACAATGCAACACCTAAATCCAGTCAGAAAGACTGAAAAAGAAAATAACCTTGAGGATAATAAAATAAAAAGATACAGTCTGGAGCTGACCAGTTCCAATCGACGGTGCCCGTTCCGAACATTTTGCGAACCCTAGCACCGCCCAACTCAACCATTTTGTAGGGAATCGAGCGATCCAATACACGTGCCACCGCCAACGAGATCTTTGAGTGAGCATGACAACTCCAAGCTGACATAAATGCAATCTACTAGTCTAATTTGATTGAATTAATTACAGGGCTCTCACATTTACAATAGATTGTGCAACGTTTTAAACTATACAAATATTTAAGCAACATGATTATATTAATACATAGAATAAATTCTTAACCGAATCTTATTCTTGGCACTATTACCATTAAGGCCATTTAATGACATTTATTTATATTTCTTTTTTCTAGGGAAAATTCAGAAGCACACAGAATAAGACTAGAAGAAGTAAAAAAAGAATTGGATGAGAAAGGAACATACCAATTGAAGTCTTCAGAGCTTGTGTTTGGAGCTAAATTAGCTTGGCGCAATGCTACCAGATGTATTGGACGAATACAATGGAAGAAGTTACAGGTGAGACCCCATAGCTCTGTTTTTAACCAACTTCAAAAAAGAGAGGGTAAGAGTCGGTATTTTTAAACGTTGTTTATAAAATTATTGTTATGTTTTTATAATAACTGTCGTGAGACATACTAAATTAACTAAAATCGCGGGTTACTCACGTGAATATACTGAGAAAAAAGCTCTACTAGTTTCGAACCATAGAAGGGTTCTTCCTCATGAGCAGCGTGCGCGGTCGCGGCGATGAGTAGCCGACATTATATTCACGTGAGTAACCTGCGATTTTAGTTAATTTAGAATTATTGTTATTCATTTAATATTTCGTTTTTAAATTAAAAACTATGAAGTTTATTACCAAGATGTCCGATTCCCGGGTCGGCCAAAATATAACAGGGCTTTTTCAAAAAATTTCAGTAGTAGCACGGAGTCTGGTATAGTGCCCGGTATATGACAATAGGCTCACCCCCTATTAGATGGGACTCATAACATAAATAGTGAAAAGTGAAGTGGGTGTTACATTGTACAGTGGCCGTGCAGTGCCGTAATGCACACCTCTGCCTACCCCTTCGGGGATAAAAGGCATGATGTTATGTTATGTTCATCACCAAGATGACTTTGTAATTAATGTAAGCAATGAAATGTAACATTCACATTTCACCCTTTATATTACAAGTTCAATGTTACAAGCCGAGTTTATTACTATAGTCAGAATTTTAATTAGATTCCAAATTTGACAATAGCTACTGTCATTTTGTGAAATAATGATAATCGATTTTTGTGTGCTTCACTACATATGTGGATATGTAGTGAAGCACACAAAAATCGATAAACAATCAGTGTGTGTTTTATAATAAACTAGCGACCCGCCCCGGCTTCGCACGGGTGCAATGCAAAATATACCTACTACAGAATGTCCTTATACACAACGTTCACAGCTTTTTTGTCATTAGCCAATACAAACATGTTTTGCTGAGACGTTACTCTTGACAGCGCGACATATAATTGGCCATGTGAAAAACACTCAACACTCAAGTCTAATCCTGCAACGTTAAAAGTTTGACCCTGCGATTTATTAATGGTCTGTTCAAAATTGTATACTTAGGTACTCAGTACTTGATTAAACTCACAATTAAACAATACTATACGTATGATTATGAACTAATTGCACTAATTATTGGTTAGTGCTGGAGTAAAAAATATTTACTTACTATTCGTTTGACTAGAAACAAAAGATTATCAACAACAAAATATACCTATTCTATTCAGTTCTTCTATGAACTTAACTATAATTTTCAATAATTGAAAATGCTCGCCCTAATACTAAATTGCCTTAACTCTAAATTCAAATCAAAGTCTTAATGGAAGAAATACCAAGAAATATGGTTTTAAAAGATAATCAACAACAAAAGATACTTATTCTATTCAGTTTAATTAATTCTTGATATTTTTCTCGCTAGAGAGCTCCGATAAACGCGTGCGATCGCTGCAAATCATAAAGTGCTATAAGGCGAAGCGCGGCCATCGACGCGCTATTTATAGGCACGCGCCGCCCGGCGCAAACAACTACGACCCTGCATTTTCAATTTGTAATATCTTCGGTAATATTCACTTAAATTACATGTTGTAAAAAGCATATTGATCTATAATAAATGCACAATTTATTTAAGGTACTTAAATGGATAAGGATTAATGCTGTATTGTTTAAAATCACTTCGTAAATAACCATTTTTTAGTAAAGAATAAAAATGGTTATGCTGGGTTATCCCTAAGAGATAGACATATACCATCGCGGACTTTTTTGTTGAACTTTTTAAGGTGAACAATACTGTAGTACATTATTTTGGTCTATCTTGTAGGGTTCAGCCAGCGTTTGCAATATAAGTGCAAAAAAACGTGCTTATTTACGACATCACATTAGAAACCTTTAAATTTATCAGTGTTTCTCTACTATATTATGCATTTATTATACATACAAACCTTCCTTAAGAATCACTCCATCTATTAAAAAAAACCGCGTCAAAATCCGTTGCGTAGTTTTAAAGATCTAAGCATACATACGGACATACAGCGAAAGCGACTTTGTTTTATACTATGTATTGATGTTACAGAAAGTGACAGGATAGCGATAGCGATGACGGCGACAATTTATAAAATAAGTTATTACCATAATACATCTATCTGTTTTATTTGTCATGTCCCTTCATGATTACATTTTTTTATTTATTTCACACACAATTATAAAAGAAAAGTCTCAGATCGTTAATTAATCGTCAAAACTAAATTATCGGTTCAGAAATATTTAATTTCCTGATATACTTAGTTTACGAGAGTAAAATTATAAACGAGAAGAATCGATCCAGAAATATTGCATTTCCATATCGAATAATTTCGCAACGTCACTATTTAGTGCTTGTCATAACGTTGCAACATTGAAATTGTCAAATCTGGAATCGAATTAAAATTCCGAGTTTAGATACTAGATTTTCGGTTCAGTACTTACCTTTGTTATGTATAAAAACTTATATGCAATGTTCTACAGTACTTAGATGCCATCGCATGACTACTTCTATTTGCCAAAATTCTTTCCCCTCAAGAGAACAGACGTTAACGTATGAATCCACTTAAACGTAGAAACACCAGCATATCATCCTATCCTATACTGACGAAATACTTCAAGGAATTTGAAACTGTAACGCTAAGGTTATAGAGACGAAAGTTGATTGTAGAAATTGGTACATTAGGATAGCTTCTTTTGCTAGTATTTTGTACTATCACTCGTTAGAAACACAAATTAGATTTGGTTGATCCTGAAGTATCTTGTGTGTTTCCCTTTCTATGGGAAAGGCTTTTACATGACTGATTTATTTATTTGCTGAGAATTATGCTTGTATGTTTTTTTATCTAGTTTGTTTTTGAGATTGTGAGTACTCTCTTTTTTTCTTTTATCGTCAACAGCCTATAAGTAGCGTTGACCAAACGCCTCTTCTGACAAGGAGAATCACCACGCTTGCTCAATGCAGGTTAGCGATTTCAAACTTATATTTAGAAATTATACCTAAGCCTAGGTTTCCTCACGATATTTTCCTTCGCCGTTTCTCAGTGATATCTGAATAATCTTACAAAGTACATATACCTCGCAAAAGGCCACTTAGTATTTGCCGTTGGTAAGGTTTTGAACCCGCACCCTCAAAGTCAATGTCAAACCATTTATTTCAATAAATTCTTAATTAGGCACTTTTGAAACGTCAATAATTGAATTGTCCGTCCGTTTGTCTGTCAGTGAAGCTAGGCGCATGTATGAGAATGCGCCCTCATACATGAGAAGCGGGCATCTTAAACCTCCGGGCCACTACGACAGATGATATTATTAATGTTTTCATTATAATACCTATCAGGCCGATTTTACAATCATCAGTTAATCCGTAGAATAAAATTGACAGTTGACATTTTTTTAAGTATTGAAAAATTGTCAAATTCACCTATTCCTCTGATAATGATTGGCGTTAGAAGAATCGGCCCTTAAACGCGCAATTCTCGTAGGTATATACGTATGAATCAAAGATTCTGTAAGCGGCTACAACGATTTTCTTGAAATTTTCTAAGTATTTCAGGGGTTTTAGAGGCGATAATTCCATCAACCCAGGACAGAAAATGTCGTTTACTAAAAAAACACCAAGCAAAACTCAATCATTCAGGTACTGGTACTTATATGAACTAATGTCAATCATTTATAATCCTAGAGACATAGTAACCTAATCCAGTCTTTGTCTGAAAAGTTAGAAACTAGACTAATCTCAACACTAGCCGCAATTCCAGAATTCTAGTTATGACTAAAAAGTTTGAAATTGTATAATTATTCAGTATTTTAAATGACAATAATAATAGTATCAAATTCTTATGTTTATCGGTATACGCAAATACCTACGATTAACAGAGGTATCTAGAAATAATTAAAAATGTTGTGGTGGCTTGAGGTTTAAGACACTCGAACTGAAACCTACTAACGGCAAGTATCAATAGGACTTTTTCCGAGTTGTGTGTACTTTCTAAGATTATTCAGACACCACTAATAAACGGTAAAGGAAGATATAGCGAGGAAACCTGGACTTTATTATAATTTCTAATTATAAGTATAAAATCGCGAACCCTCATTGAGCAAGCGTGGTGATCAATGCTCCAACCTTTTCCATGTGAGAAGAGGCTTTGCTTAGTAGTGGGCATTTATATGCTGTTGATGTATGAAAACATTGACAAGTAAAACTGATAACGAGGTCAGTTAACCGAGCATAGGATGTATCACTAACTACCTATATTCCTTTTACCTCTTTAGTACAACAAGCGCATTTACATTCACAAATACAAAGCGTTCATCAAGTAGCTGTACCTACATACATACCATTTCTTAAAGCTAAGGGTAACAAACTTTTAATTAGGAGTTTCAGCTTACAACTTTATAACGACCCACAAACTAGATGTCATTAGTCGCTCACTGAGACAGATACAAGTTATGTGGCTTAACTGAAACAACGATTGTTGATGTACTATTTTGATAGTTTGAATAAAATGTACTGCCTCATTGGTCGAGTGGCCTCAAGTGCGACTGCCGGGCAAGGCGTCTTGGGTTCGATTCCCGGGTCGGGCAAAGTAATACTGGTTTTATTTTAAAATTCTCAGTAGTAGCACGGAGTCTGGAATTGTGCCCGGTATATGGTAATAGACTCACCCCGTATTACATGGAACTCATAACATAGATAGTGAAAAGTGGGTGTTACATTGTACAGTGGCATTAAGTGCCAAAATGTCCTCACCTCTGCCTACCCCTTCGGGGATAAAAAGGCGTGATGTTATGTTATGTTAAATTGAAAGTCACAACAAGGTTTTAATACGATTAGATCTAGCCAAACTTTTATTCCTTTATGATATTACCTGTACGAATACAATTATATATAACCTCACCACCTACCAGCTCACCACCTACCACATACATTTCTATACGACCTAAAGACTGGCAGAGAATGCTGTTAGCATTTAATCCTCCTTATGCAAATGTATAAAACTCAAATAAATAAAATAAAAATTATATTAAACTTGTTTTATATGCAATCACTAATTTTATTTTTTTACTTTCGATTAAGCAATCGAATTAAGTCGTTATAAATACAATAATCCCAGTCATTATTTACATACTTTTACTTTTTAAGTGTATGGCACTGTATCTGGCCAAGTAAAAAAAAACATTTTAAACAAGCTCCTTTGCTAACTCTTCAAGAAACAAAACACTTAAACATGTAACGTTAAAAGACATCATACAATTTTAAACTCTATATTCAAGGTCAATAAACATAGTCTGCCTCACTGCCAGACTCATAAAGCGACTATTACCACATTCCGCGACAGACTAGCCAGTTCCCTACTAGTTTTCTTATTATTCTAGTATTTTTAGTTAAACCAGTCCCGCATTAACATACGATATTTAATTACAACGTCTGCTTTGTAAATAACACTTGGGATATGCAGCTGAGAGGAGATTAAAAGATTGCATATAGTATTTAAAGTTATTTTTATAAAATATTAGTATTTAAAGTTATTTAATATAAATATTAAAAAATTATTACACGTATACCTGTTTCATCCTATTGAAGCATTTAATTTGGATCCTGTCACCTAAGTCAGCCCATACCCTGCCTGTGTCGCGGAGAACCTAACGGGTAACCGGGGCTTCGGCTCAACGTGCAGGAGAAGGAACGGGGTGGTTTTTAGTCAGTAACAGTCTGACACTCCCTCCCGCTTCACAGGCGGGAGCAGTCATTCGATGATTTTCCCCCTTAAAAAAAATACCCTGCCTGTATATCAAATTTCATAAAAATCCGTTCATTAGTTTCAGCGTGATTGACGGACAAACATCCATCCAATCAAAGAAATGTTCACATTTTTAACATTGGTGTGATACATATTTGGATCAGTAGTATGCATAACAATTAAAACAGGAATATCGCCGAAAAAGCAAGGATCCACATTTCTTAAATAATTATAGCAGTAACAATATTATGTCGAGCGAATAAATATACACTGAATTGCCAAAACAATAAAGATCAAAATTGATTGTATCTTTATAATTGTGTCTGGCACTGAACTATTAAATGCCTGCACCGATATTAATGAAGTATTTTATTTTTCAACAAGTTCGCAAACGACTTATATTTATAAATAACTTGGTATTTGATGGTACGATGAAGATAAAATGCGCATAGAACTAGTTTTGTTACATTGAATTAAAATACTATAATAATAATTAGCACAATATTTTTAAAACTCGATTAATTATTTTGTTAAGCCATAAAACAGTTTTGTTTTACATAAACACATGATACCTACTATCCCAAACTGATAAATTCCTATACCATAATTTCAACTCTATCATAATACATTAAGGTTGAAAATAAAGTGTAAACTATTTTCTGTTGCATTGTAAGACAAAGGGATGCTTTTGTTCATAGTCTTCCAAAACTAAAGTTGAGAAATTCTTTTGTAGATGTTCGACTGCAGGGAAGTAACTACAGCTAGTGGAATGTTTGAAGCTCTCTGCACTCACATCAAGTATGGAACGAATAAAGGGCAGATCAGGTGAGATTTTGAAATAATTACTCGTTGGAAAAACGATAAAAAAGTATATAATTTAAAAATAATAGTGTCTATTTTATTTTTCTTTGGCAAACAAGTCTCTTAAACAGTCTTGTCGACTATACTGCCAGTATCGAGTGGTGAAGGCAGATTAATGAACCGTCGAAAGTGTCAAAATTGATCATAATGTTTAAAACCTTGACAAATGCCATAACATTAAAAATTTATTGTCAAATTTCATTATTATGTTTAACGGCTTACGTACGTAATTGTTTAAAAAGGAACTCAACCAGTTTCGGGGTATACTAGGAGTTCATATTCGTTACACAGCAAACTTCTTTGACAAATAGTTAAGTTAGTGAGCCGATAAACATAATGAGTTATTATATGTCACAACACTAACTTTATAACATTTTTCAGGTCAGCAATTACGATATTCCCTCAACGCACAGACGGCAAACATGACTACAGAATATGGAACCCACAGCTCATTAGTTACGCTGGGTATCGGATGCCCGACGGTTCCATACTTGGAGATCCTGGACGGTTGGAGTTTACTGATGTAAGAATATTTTACTTATTTCAGTTCTAATACTTACTTGTATGTCTAAAAAATAAAATAACAAAGGTTTAAAAATAACGGCGTATCAACGTCAGCTGTTTGAGAAAACATTCACAAAATGTGTCAATTAAAAAAAAAATTGTTGAAATTCTCAGTCGATTTATAAAATTTAAGACATTTTTATAAGTATTTCTATCACTACTAATATTTTATTAAGCGATAGAGACAATAGACAACATGATAGTTATACTTTTAAGTAAGTACAACTTATAATTGAGTAGGATCTCAGTATATTTGGTCATTACATTAAAAATAAAAAAACAATAACTCAAAGAAACACATTGCAACGCAGATTGCCAAGAGAAGGATAAAATCCCAATTAAACATCGTAGTAATAATAATATTACCAACAAATTTTGATATCAGAAACCCACTAACATAATAATTATCGTTGATGCATAATAATAATCAAATATTAGATTCCTTCGTAGCAGTATCTAGCATGTTTAGTTATGTTAATTATGCATTTAAAATACACATATATTTTTCCGCAATAAAAACACATATCAATTCACATGACTTGCCAAAACACTTCCATGTGGTATTTGAAAACTAGATTTGAATAAAAAAAGTTGTTTCGAATAAATATCCTCGTTTTTGTGCCTTTTTATTTGCTATACCGCTCTAACTTAAATGTATGCTATGTAGAAGGTGAATCGATTGAACACATTATTGCAAAAACGATGCTATTGATGAGAATTTTGAAAATTTTAAAATGCAATGCAACCTTACTGAACAAATCTAACCAAAAACTTCGTTTCCGTTGCAATCTTTCAACTAAAAAGGCAATCAAAACCTTTGAGTTAATATTCTGTGTCCCCTAGATGGGACAGTAGGCGTTTACAAAAGTTCTCCATCACGACCTGCCTTAATTTGAAAGGACATCTTAACCATTTCAATCTCCACTAAAAATAAAGTCCTCCTTTACCGTTCTCTATTTGTCAAATAGGAGACAAACGTTTTTAGCAATTCAGCATCTGTAGCCAAATGCCATTTAGCGCTTGTCTACATGTAGAATAGAAAACCAAATTATATGGAATTGATGTAAATTTTATCACTTGTCAGTGTCATTCCCATACATTTTAATTTCTACTCTCTCTGTAGACAAACGGTAAAGTGGCGTTTGGCTAAAGGCACAGCTGCTGCTTTATCTAAGTACTTATTTGATGAGTAACATTGTATTTTTCTTATAGGTATGCTTAAGGTTAGGATGGAAGCCAAAGGAAAAGACTGCGTGGGATATATTACCGTTGGTGTTATCAGCTGATGGAAAAGACCCGGAATACTTTGAAATACCCAGAGAAATTGTTATGGAAGTGCGTATGGACCATCCAAAGTAAGTTGTTAAACTTAACTAAATCAAAGGAAAACTGACAAAAGTTAATTGTACAGTCTTTCCCAAGGACCTTAAGTTAAAAAAAACAAACTTATTCCAGCAGATCATTAAATTTTCATCATTAAATAACGATGATGGTAAAAATAGTGTGCTGAGATCAAGAATATCACTAAAATATCTTCATAAACAACAATCTTGTTGAGTACGATTAAAACAATTATTCATCTCTATCTTTTTTTAGCTATGATTGGTTCCAAGATCTTGGTCTGCGCTGGTATGCCTTACCAGCCGTCTCTGGCATGAGAATGGACTGTGGAGGTCTAGAATTCACCGCTACTGCTTTCAACGGCTGGTACATGGGCACTGAGATTGGTTGCAGAAACTTTTGCGACAGCAACCGTTTTAACGTCCTTGAGGTGAGAATTAGCTTCTCTATTATTTGTAGCATCAAGTTTATCTTGTTCTTTATTATTACTTGTATTAATATTAATTTTATTTTTAAATTTTACATTATAACCATCTATTAGTAGCTTTTAAACTACATATTTTCGTAAACATCTAGAAGTACCTACTGTTAAAGATTCTGTTGACTAGTTTTCTCTGTGGGTAACAGACTATGCGATTATGGTACAATATTCAAATACAAAGGAAAATTATAAAAATGTGCTGTTCGTTATTAAAATTGTATTTTTTTGATACAGACGGTGGCCACAAAAATGGGTCTCGACACAAACATGTCAGTATCCTTATGGAAAGACAAGGCTTTAGTGGAAGTTAACATAGCAGTGCTGCACAGCTACCATAGAGACAACGTGTCTATAGTGGACCACCACTCTGCTTCGGAACAGTTCATGAAACACATGGAGAATGAGAGTAGAGCACGGTAAGATATTCAAGTTATTTTTCTAAGTTACATGCTTGTGACAACTTGGGTGTAAATGCTCTAGGTAGTAAACGAGTAGATGGATCATTTCAAGATAAGCAACCTATAGACACACGTAACATCAAAGAGATTACAAGTACGTTACCAGCCTTTTAGTGGTCAGGGATTATGGAATTGAGGACGGGAGACTAACTTGACCCACACGGCGAATCATAAAATGGGCATAAAAATATAGTTGCCTACTTTGATTCAGTTTAATCTTAATGCATTAATTTTTTTAGGGGAGGTTGTCCATCCGATTGGATCTGGATAGTCCCACCAATGTCATCGTCTCTGACTCCAGTGTTCCATCAAGAGATGGCTCTATATTACCTACGACCTTCGTACGATTATCAGGTAACTTTAATTGATACATAGTTCCATCAAAACTGGGGCATTGTCATCTAACGTGGAATGATTACTTATTTTTGCTATACACATTGAGCAATGTAATCAATCATTTAAAGAAACGACACTGATTCCTGGGCGAAGTAACGGATTGTTGAAATGGTACCCAGAGTTATATTTGCTATTCTTCTAGGTTTCCAATCAAGTTAAATATTTTATGACGAAAAAATCGCACATTTTCCAAAATTGTTGCTCTTTCACAATGACCATTACTTTTAATCTAGCTAAACCTAGAAGAACAAAGATGAATAAATCATCATAAATAAAACTGCACACTCGTATGTATCCAGATTGTTGTGTTAATCCTGGATCATTACTCATCTTCCTCGCCGTTTCCCAATTATTCAGGGTCGGGGCATGGGTCGGGATCATTCCTAACGTAACATGACACTAGCCGTAAATTCTTCGATAAATACAGTATCATGCTGAATAAATAGTGGCTCTTTGTATTGCATTGTTGTAAAAAAAATATTTCGTTCTCCGTTTCTCAACACATGTTTGATGTTTGTGATTAAATTATAATAAAATTTCTTTACTGTTCATCTCATATTCGTATAGGCTAACCTGATTTTTTATAGATCTTTGAAAACATGCATTTATTTTACCAGGAACCTGCTTGGAAGACCCATCAATGGTCGAAGTCAGATGGCGTGAAAACTGTACGCAGAAAGTTCCACTTTAAGCAGATTGCCCGAGCCGTCAAGTTCACTTCCAAACTGTTTGGCCGAGCCCTCTCTAAGCGCATCAAGGCAACAATTTTATTCGCATCCGAGACAGGCAAATCTGAACAGTATGCCAAGGAGTTAGGTGTCCTTTTTGGACACGCGTTCAATGCACAGGTGAGTTTTTATTTCGCTATTTAAATAAGAGTAAGTTAAAGTTGTGTAAAGCATTTTGTTGCCCAAATTAGATGGTTTGGGCGACTGTGGAAATATTTATCTGTTTAAGGACAATTTGAGTTATTTTAAATTGATTTAGTCACTTTAACTGTTTGTACTAAGAAAAAGAACAAGCCTGAATAAGAAGCGTTTAAAAAAATATATATTTGCTGTGGAAAATACTTTTATGTTGTTACTGATCTCATTGGCAATTGAACTGTTATAATTTAAAAATGTAATCAACAGGTCCAATGTATGTCCAAATACGACATGTTCTCGATTGAGCACGAAACTCTACTGATAATTGTAACATCAACCTTCGGGAATGGAGAGCCACCGACAAATGGAGAAGTATGTTTACAATATTATATCCTCATCGATTTTGAAATAAAACTTTAAAAAGTATCTAATTTAATCTGTTTCTAATGTTTTAGGATTTCGCAAAACATCTAGTCGAAATGCTAAACAATGAAAAAGAAAGCCAGGACGATGTCGTGGATTTGTGTTCTGCGTAAGTGAAAAAGTTCTTTTTCCCATATTTTAAGACAATAACTGGATAGCCGCTATCTACCAGATAAATTCGAATTAAAAACGTAATTTAAATGAACTATCTGATAGTTAATCCAAATTACGTTCGGTAGATAGTGCCTATCCAAACTCTGTGAACAGGACCTAAGTGACCGCTCCATTTGACTTAAAGATTCTGTTTAAGTAAAACCGTTTGCACTTTATTTTATTGCAGGGGTTACAAAACATCAGCAAAGTCTCCAGCCCTATTGAGAACAAACAGCTTCTTAGCATCCAGTAGGGATTACAATCGCCAGTTAACTCGATTAGAGTCCAACAAAAGTGAGTAATTTTTTTCTACTAAATTGACCAGCTCCAAGTTAACTACCCAATACATAACATAACAACATTTTGATCGCGTTAACTTAAACACAACTTCCACTAAAGACTCTGATTTGTATAGTCCTTAAACAGATTGATTTTAAAAATAAAACAAGATACTCAGTTCAGTGGCACGCAATTTTGTATAAAACGATTACTAACAGTTTCAAATTTGGAACCGACAAGGTTTTAATTCAATTACTTCCACCCAATGACATTGGTCACGGTACATAGTCCCTCTAGTCTAAGTTGGTACATCTGCAATACCAGAGGCATCTGCAATATCAGAGCAATCAACATTTACATAAAAGTCCATCTTTGTTTTATTTGCAGGTGTAGTTACAGTAACATCATCAGTGGAACACATAGCTCCTCTAAGCAACGTACGCTATGCAGTATTCGCGTTGGGTTCCAGTGCGTACCCTAAGTTCTGTAACTTTGGTAAATTCATTGACAATATCATCAATAATCTGGGTGGTGAAAGAATTATGGAGTTGTGCTGTGGGGATGAAATGTATGGACAGGAACAACGTTTCCGGACTTGGTCGTCAGAAATATTCTTAGTAAGTTGATTGGATATAAAAATATGTATATTTGATTTGGTATATAGAAAAGGATACGTAAAACATTGATCTTTGCCGAGCTGTTCTTCGCCCTTTCATGGATAAATATTACTCAATAGGCAATTTAGTTCATTAAACATTATAAAAAACAGTTGGGTAATTTTTATAACTTCTGACTTCTTGACCTGAATTTTGGATTGACTGGTGAGAATTGATGTTGTATCGGATCTTAGACCAATACAGGCAAACTGCTAATCTACATAGTTAGAATGTGTGTTTTTATAGATAGTAAGTTCAAAGACTGGAGCAAAACGTTGACTATGTTTTTAAATGCTATCTTTTATGTTATGTAAAAACTTTACATAATAACATAAATAATTTTCTCCAGGAATCCTGTAGGACATTCTGTCTAGATGAAAGTGACATGGTCAGGGACGCACAGAATGCCCTGGGTATCATACCAGTTACAGAAGAAACCGTACGGTTTGGAAGACCGGCAGCAGAACTGCCTTTAATCAATGCTTTAGAAGCAGGATTTAGAAAACAATTAATTACTTACAAAGTAGAAGAAAACAAAACATTGTCTGAACATAAGGAAACAAACGCCGAAACGATATTTGTGGATCTGAAACCAATGGTAAGCAAGGAAACTTATCAATTCTATAAAGATAAAAAAATTGAAAATATTTTGCTTAAGACAAATTAGAGCCATAAAATAATAATACAACGATAAGACGAGACCGAAAAAAGTAATGCTTAACACTATTTCAAATGTTGTCAATTAACCCACTATTCAAATGTTGGCTTAAAATATAAACTAGTTTAAACAACTTATTATGAAACTTCTGAGTTATACCTAGTTAAATCAAACTTATTAACTATTAACATGTTTTCAAATTGCAGAGCGAAATAAAATACGTCCCTGGTGACCACATTGGTGTTATGCCAGTGAATAGAAAAGAAATAGTAGATACTGTTCTAGAAAGACTGAGAGGAGTTGAAGATCTTGACAAAATAGTACAACTCAAAATCATGAAGGAAACTCTAACACCCACAGGTAACGACAAACATTTGAATATGAACGTTAATAAAGCTAGATTAGGAATGAATTCGGAAAAAACAAACAGATTAAAGGAATGTTTGAGTATTTTGTATACGTAAGAAACTGGTTTTATGTTAAACGATTACGTAAAAGGGAACTTCGTTTAACCAAATCAACAATATGAAATGTGCGTCTTTGATATAATTTGGTATATCCGAAAAGATTTCCCATTCCTTAATAATTATAATAAAATAAGGATTAGGTTTGCGTCAACCAAAAATATGTACGCTCCACATCGTTTTTATTTGTAGTCAGTCAAATCATCATAAAAACGATCGTATGACTATGTGCCATAGATGTCATTCGGAAAAAAAATTAAACTACTTGATCAAGGTCATCTAAAAAATTGATTTGTGTGTTACAACCAACATCTGTTATCGTCGAGATGACAAAAGAAGTATGTCTATGCCTTACGTATCATTTACTAGCGTTTACCTACGCCTTATTTACTATGTATGTGTGTAACTATGTGTTAAAAAAGTTCAGAAGACTGTTTAATTAGTTAAAGCGTAAAAAGGTAACACACACATAAACTCCTTTGTAATTTTAAATGTTATTTGAGATAATCATAAGCCCAAAAATTCCAGGTACCGTGAAAACCTGGGAGAGATACGAAAGATTACCTCCAGCATCAATTCGCAATATCTACACAAGGTTCTTGGATATCACAACGCCACCTACGACTAAAGTACTCAAGTACTTAGCAGAGTCTTGTACCGACGAGGCGGAAACTAAACAAATCAATGAACTGGTTGCTGTAAGTACATTGTTACGCAAACTTTAATACGATAATTATACTATTTATTTACGTAGTTCCATCTGTTTCCTGATTATGTTGTGTGTATTTATAAAATCATCTGTATTCTATGCTAATATTGTTAATGCGAATGTTTTTATGAATCGATGGTTGATTTCTTAATTTAAAATTGGCTAAATCGATCTTTTTGAGTGGTTTTCAAATAATTATCAATAATATCGTGTATAAGAACCGTATTTTTAATTGAAATCAATCCATAAGTAGATGTTTAGTTTGAATTGTCAGCATCTGTTCATGTCTTATTCAAATCAGACAAAAACTTAGTCGTTATCTTAAAACGTTTTAAATTAGATAGCAACTAACATCGGAAATACCAAATATACAATTTGTTGTAGCAGTTACTTCTTTGATTAAAGTGACAAAAATAAGTTCCTATCCTATTTTTTGTTTTCCAGGATTCAAACAAATACCACGACTGGATCAGTTTCCACTACCCTCACTTGGCAGAAGTATTTGCCCAGTTCCCCTCCTGTAGACCACAAGCATCACTACTCGCTACCCTGCTGAGTCCCTTACAGCCCAGGTTCTACTCCATATCATCATCACTTCTGGCCCATCCTCAAAGGGTTCATGTCACCGTGGCTGTCGTTGTTTATAAGACTCAAAGTGAGTATTTTCAAAATTTTCTTTAACACTAGGTAGTATTTGTCTTGTATAAAATATTATTATTAGAAACGTAACAGATTCTGAACTAATCAAATAAATTTTGTTTTACGCTTCAGATGGTGAAGGACCAATGCACTATGGTGTTTGTTCAAACTATCTGAAAAGTCTACAACCCGGAGACGAAATTATTGCATTTATCAGACAGTAAGTTCTCTAAAAACCAAGATAAAAAATGCCACGGTTTGAGCTAAAAACAAATATCTAATCTCCTATCTCATTTGCAGTAAACCAAGCTTCCACATGCCCAAAGACATATCAGCTCCACTCATCCTGGTAGGTCCTGGTACTGGAATAGCACCATTCAGAGGATTCTGGCATCATAGAAGACATCTCATCAAAGAGCTGGTGTCTCACAACCCTGGACCAGTTTGGTTGTTCTTCGGATGCAGATACAAGAGCATGGAACTGTATAAGGAAGAGAAAGAAGAAGCAGTGCTTGATGGTACGCTACATAAAGCCCGTTTGGCCCTGTCAAAGGAAGAAGGAGATCATAGAGTAAGTGTTTTTAGTTGTTTAAAGATGATTTTTGTATGCACTCACTTCTTAGAGCCGATTTTTCAACGCCAGATACATTTTGACTGAAGAATAACTTTAAATATTTCACAATTTTTTCATACTAAAACCTTTAAAATGACATTTTTATTCTACAGTTAAAAATTAACTGATGATTAAAAATTGGCCCTTAGAAGAAAGAAGTACAGTCTAAATAAGTGATTTAAAATCAAATTTTGTTTGTTACATCAGAACAATTTTATCATGAGAACAATAATTAAGATAATGTAGAATAAATAGTTGTTTAGATACACCACCCTTAAATTGACTTGGAATATTTTAAATTATTCTATTGTTTTTTTTATATCTTTCTCCTTCAATCAGAAATACGTCCAAGCTCTACTAGAAGATGAAGGAGCAGAAATGACCAGACTATTAGTTGAAGAGCACGGCCACTTCTACGTGTGCGGTGATTGCAAAATGGCTGACGATGTGGAACAAAAACTGGAAGAAATCATTCAGAAACACGGCGACATGACAGAGGAGGAGGCGAAGGAATTTATCGCCAGCTTACGGGTAGGATATTGTTCATTTTTTCATTTCGCTTAGATATTCATTCGGGGACTTTGCATTGTGTGCAGTGTCAGGGAATTCATCATGGGTTTGGTTGAGATTAGAAAATTGTAAAGTTGTCCTTTTTTTCAAATCCAAATCCTAAAGGTTTGTAAAGGCTTTCCTTTAGGCTTTGGGGAGACTTATAAGAAATGTTATCCTTCTAATATTTTTTTTGACATTGTTGATGCACTAGTACTACCTATTTCGAAGTTTCTATATAAGCCTTAGCAGTCACACCAAATCAGATGCTTCTTAGTTCATTTTATACCTAGAGTTTTATTACACTTTTGTGGTTGGTAGAAAACCTAATTATTAATCATTTCATTGCAGAATGAAAACCGATACCATGAAGATATCTTCGGAATCACACTTCGAACAGCTGAAGTACACAGTGCATCCAGAGCGACGGCCAAGAGGACTCGCATAGAATCCTTAAAGTCACAAACGTCAACTACTTCGTTAGTAGGATAGTTTTAAGCAGATGGCAGCACTATAGCTTTTAAGCATGTGTATTTTATATGTTAAACGCAAAATATTGTTAAAATCTAGTTGATTATTGAAAGTTGTTGTAAAATTATTATATATCTAAGCATTTTTTTCCTTTTGATGGGACAAGCATTCAATTAAATGTAATATTAAAGTAAGTTCAAAATCATTTAATAATTTTTCCATTATAGCTTATGAATTAATATGTATAGTACCTATAGTAATAATAATTACATTACAAAGTAGATAAGCTAGACTGTTGAATCTAATTATAATTATAATAAATATTAATAAGATATTTTAGTTTTGTTAACTTCATTTTTATGCATTTAATAAACGCTGAGTAATAATCATGGCAGTTTTAGATGATATTTTTGTCATAAAAATACTTTGAATATAAATTTAAAAAGTACATCGACCAGGATGTACAGTGGGCAAGTAAACAAACACTTTTCTGTCAAACTTTAGTAGATTTTAAACTATATTGTTTAGTTATAAAGTCTAAAATCCAATGACAAAAATTTACACATTTGGAGTAGTTTGATATACAGACCACTGTGCATTATGTAGATTATAAATTATTTTTATTAATTATATATTGTCCTAAGACACTTATTCACTTTTTGCGTTTATATCTACTACTAAAAGGAACAATTTTGCACGTCGATACTCCCTCCATAAACAAGAGAATGCAATTATAGAACATGATACAATGTACTTAAGACACTAAATTGTTTATTCAATTCAAATTATGATCGGCTTGTACTTTATGGAGCATTCTACTTGTATTATAAATATATATTAGAAGAATAAAAGACATATGTATTCGGATATTTCGTTATTATTACAATAATAAACTTTTCTTAAAATAAATGTGTATAAATATTTGTTACAGACCAAGTATCAATCAAATTGTTATGTTATGATAGTATATAATACTATATTTTCTATATTTAATTAGTTTACTAAGAACAATGCAATGTATTGAGTCCAGAATGTAGCTTTATAAGTACTTATAATGGAATCAAAATAAAAAAATATTGATTTTTTAAAAAATAATAAAACTACAACTAGAATTAAAATATGTTTCATTATTTCAAACCCTTCACAGTAGCAACCTCATTCAAAAATGAATGTTGATCTTTGAACAACAAGGTTCAGTTAAGATTGAAAAGAAAATAGTTTCACCGCTACTACCTAATTTCAATATGAGTAACCACTAATTTATATTAGGTACATTATATTTCTGCATAAATCAACTGTTGGTGTGATATAAAAATAGTTTTAAAGGCTGTAGATGTGATGCGCAAGTGACTTTGTATATTTGTAAACGCACCCACGACACGAGGAAATCCTAGCGAGCGCTATAGAGTAAGAAGGCAACTATTTAATGAAAAAAAATTATGATACAGAAGTAACATCGTCCAACGCGCCGCTGGAGTTGGAAGCAAACGTTCGTAGTGCCCGACAGAGGGCGCGTTGGGCTCGCAGCGCAAGTAGCAACACCGAGGCGAGTGCCAACGCCAGCCAGCGACGTCGCCGCGACCGCGCACGCTGCTCATGAGTTAGAACCCTCTGTGGTTCGAAACTAGTAGAACTTTTCTCAGTATATTCACGTGAGTAACCCGCGATTTTAGTTAATTTAGTATGTCTCACGATAGTTATTATAAAAAGATACAGAAGTAGTAATCTAACCGCAATGATTTTACAATAAAACATTTCTAAATAATATAATTATTTCTCCTCTTAACTTCTCCTTCTTACGACATGATCATAGATTTCAATTTGTGTATATTTTGGCGAGTACACGCGTTGCTTCGTCGTGTTCTGACCCGGATCTTGTTGAGGATCCGGACAAATGATTTTGTGGTCATGACGGTTCTGGAAGAGCAGACCTCTGTCCGGATCCATTACTGGCTGGAAAGAGACGTAAATTATATGAATTGTGTTGACGGCTTCATTAGTAAAGAGGTACTTTTACGGTATTACGGAGCATTTTCAAAATCCTAAAAAATCTATTTAAATAAAAATGAATTTCCATTCGTTAGTCTCGGAAAACCTCGAGAACAGCTGAACCGATTTGGCTAATTTGAAATTTTAGTGGGAGTCCAGGGAAGGTTACGAAGTGACAAAAAAATTTTTGGTGGTACCATATATACCAGATATCAGATAGTACTTTAACAATTATTTGCTTTGTTAAACCCAGGAATTGATTTCAAGAACCCTTGCTCTGCAGTCGAGCTTGCCACCACTTGCCCAATAAGGCAGACTTGTACATACAAAATAATAAGAGTTGAATGTGACGGAAAATTCTAAAATTTTACAGACCCGTGATTTTCAGCAAGGAAGGAATTACAAAAACAGTTATGCTAGCATTACTACTATGTAACATGTACTTATTACTTACATATGTATTTATAGTATTTTAAGTTAAAATTGTAGTAGATATTAAATATCTACTATTTGTAGTAGATATAATATTATTGTATTTTAAGACTGTCTCGTTGGCCGAGTGGTCGCAAGTGCGACTGCCGGGCAAGGGGTCTCGGGTTCGATTCCCGGGTCGAGCAAAGTATTACTGAGTTATTAAAAAATTCTCAGTAGTAGCACGGAGTCTGGAATTGTGCCCGGTATATGGCAATAGGCTCACTTCCTGTTACATGGGACTCATAACATAAATAGTGAAAAGTGGGTGTTACATTGTACAGTGCCATCGTGTAGGTACGCCTCTGGCTACCCCTTCGGGGATAAAAGGCGTGATGTTATACATATATATGTATTTTAATGTGGGCCTTCGTTGCCTAATAAAAATAAATAAATAAAAAAATTAAAATTACTAAAGTCTAAACTTATATATTTATTTATTTATTTATTAAAACTTTATTGCACATATAGTGAAATTGGCGGACTTAATGCCGTAGGCATTTTCTGACAGTCGACCATTGGGTGGTGCAGAATGTTAAAGCGGTAGGTGCAAAATTGTAAAAAGAAAGTATGAAGTAGATAACGAAGTTAAGGTAATAAAATATTAAAGAGGGAAGACATGATTGTTATAGTCGATAATACATAACTAAGGGTATAGGGTCTTAAAATGAATTATATAATAAATATAATATATCCTAAATATGCATACATATAATATAATACATACATATATAAATAAATGCAATACATAGACTACATATTACCACTGTTTTGAGTTTGCCACTTTCTATAAATGTGTTCCCGAACCTTGAATTTAAATGAACAGCGATTATTTGCCATTCTGATTTCCTTGGGCAGCGCGTTCCACAGAGAGACAGATTGAACGAAAAAGGAGGAGTGAAGATAGTCAGTGCGGTGAGTGGGACATTGAAGTTGACGGTTATTAGATGAGCGAAGGTATTTAGAATGGTTTGCGCATGTATATTGGAAGTAGGAAGCTAGATAAACAGGTGAAGAAGGAGAGTCGAGAAAAGAAAATAAAGTAGTTAACGCCCTTTGTTGCCTGCGCAGGCGTATGGGCAGCCATTTTAATTGCAACCGATGTGCAGAAACATGATCATATTTACGTAAATTGAAAACGAATCGAATGCAGTTATTTAGAAGACGGTCAATTTTGTTGAGTAGATCTGCATTCAGGTCGTAGTAACACACATCAGCATAATCGATGATAGGAAAAATCAGGGCCTGCACGAGCCGTGCCTTGGTAGTAGACGGAAGGAAGCTTCTAAGGCGGTACAAGCCTCGCAACGACCCAGTTACCTTCTGGCATACACTAGTGACCTGTGCACGCCAGCTCAATGTGTTATCAATATGTAAGCCAAGATCCTTCACATCGTCACTAAACGGGATTGCCACATTATTGTACGAGACAGGCTGCAGCGACGCGACACTGACTGTTTTCCAGGTACGTGTGCTTCCAATGATTATGGCTTGACATTTATTTGGATTTACTTCTATGCCGAACCTTTGTGACCAGTTGTAAATAGCAGCCAAATCCCCATTTACTGCCGTGATAGTACTAGGTAAGTCATCCACTGCAGCCTGACAGTACAACTGCAAGTCGTCCGCATACAGATGATACGCACACCGAAGTTCAGAAGTAATGAAATTAATAAAGATTGAAAATAAGAGAGGAGAGAGAATGCCGCCTTGAGGGACACCAGCCAGCAGATCACACCAACTTGAAGAATTATCGTCAAGCCGGATCGACTGCTGACGCCCCCGAAGATAGGAAGAGAACCAGTCCAGTGTTTTGTCAGAGACTGCAAGATGGGACAGGATGGCCAAAAGGAGATCGTGACTGACCACATTGAAAGCGTTTGAAAAGTCGACTAATACTAAAACAGTTACTTTGGTGTCCTCAATCCCTGCCCTAATATCGCCAGTCACTTTAAGGAGGGAGGAGACAGTGCTGTGTCCAGGTCGAAAACCTGATTGGAGAGGGCTTATTAAACTGTTTCCATAAACAAACCGTGACAGCTGCTTATGGACACAAGCTTCAAGCACCTTAGACAGGAAGGGAAGGATTGAGATTGGACGGAAGTGAGTGGGAAGAGATGGATTACTAACCTTAGGTAGTGGACGAACAAAAGCCTTACGCCACAAGGACGGGAACACTCCGGAATACAAGGAATAGTTGACAATATGGGTAATTGCTGGAAGGAGATAAACCAGGATGGACATGATCATGTCACGGGAGATGGAGTCACAGCCAACAGCTTTGGATTTAATGGAGAGGATTGTCTTACGAATCTCCTCCGACTGGACTGGTATGAAGTGGCAATACTAATATAGTTAAAACTTGGATATAATAAAATTCCTCAACAACGAAAAGCCTAAGTATTCTCTACTATAATCGTTAATACTAAAACCATACTTAAATAGAGCCTAGAGGACTTATCACAACCACCAAGATAAATGCCAATAAAGTTTGTTGGCCACGATATTGTTATCAGCGACGATAAGTCACGTAGAAGTAATTCCACAGGCAGATCTATGAAAGTCGAGTCGAGAACTAAATCTAAGTTTAAAGGCCTGCACAGTATTGAAATATCTAGGTCATAATTGTTAAAAGACTGGAATATGGATTTAAAATTTTGTGTTACAATTGACAAATGATTTACATAAAAAATTGCCTCTGCCTCGTTGGTCGAGTGGTCGCATGTGCGACTGCCGGGCAAGGGGTCTCGAGTTCGATTCCCGGGTCGGGCAAAGTATTACTGGGTTTTTAAATAAAATCTCAGTAGTAGCACGGCGTCTGGAAATGTGCCCGGTATATGGCAATAGGCTCACCCCCTATTACATGGGACTCATAACATAAATAGTGAAAAGCGGGTGTTACTTCTGTGTGCACCTCTGCCTACCCCTTCGGGGATAAAAAGGCGTGATGTGTTGTTATGTTACATAAAAAATATGATTTGGGATGTTTTACTATTATATTTTTATATTTTCAGGGCCTTTGAGCACACACACGCATATCAACAGCCTATAATGCCCACTTCTGAGCAAAGCCTCTTCTCACACAGAGAAGGTTTAGGCATTCATCACCACGCTGGCTCAATGCGGGTTGGCGATTTCAAACTTACAATTAGAAATTATAAGCCCAGGTTTCCTCACGATGTTTTCCTTCACCGTTTGTCAGTGGTGTCTGAATAATCTAAGAAAGTACATATAGCTCGAAAAAGCCACATTGGTACTTGCCGTTGGTAGGTTTCGAACCCGCACCCTCATGCATGAGAAGCGGGCATTTTAAACGTCAGGGCCACCACGACATGCAATGCACCACAATGTATTGTAATGTCGTTGTAACAATGATGACCCGGAGTATTTTATATTTTAGTTAATATATTATTTTAATGTGAAATGTATTAGATAGACAAGTAAATTTGGGGTGACGTAGCATGTTGTTTGAAAGGCCCTAAAAATAAAATAGAATTACAAATAAATTTCAATTGTATCTTAAAGAAAAAATCGTCTATTCAGTGGAAATTGACACTGCCAAGCACGATATTCTGGTTTCGATCACCGGGTCGGACAGCAATTGTTTAAGGGCGTAAATTATGGGGTGCTATGAATCGAGTTCATTGCTCCCAAAAGCTGATACCTTATTACTATGGGACTAATACCCATAATAGGTTTACCTCTGTCTTTTGTTTCTTAAAAGACCCCTTTTTATAAACCAAACCAAAAATATTACGTTTGTGTATTTAAATATTTTCATTTTTATTACAACACGATAAGATTCAAAATCTGCTGCAAACAATTGTAAGATTAAAATAGCTTAAATGCTGATGTCTACTTTTTTTATGGTGCTCGATGGTCCAAACTTTTTAATAAAAAATGTGATCAGTAGACTTCTAAATAATTAAACTCTATAATGAGGGAAGAGCAACTCTCAAAGGGCTTAACGAAGCTATTACGTTTAATTTTTATTATAAACACTTTTTCGCTTGAACTATGCGAATTAATTCAGGAAGGAAGCACAAGACTGTTTATTTTTGTGTATATCACGAACAGCCATCGTCAATCCTATCTGTTTGAAATAATGTAGGTATGCATATCAACGGGACAGAATGATTGTACTAAAAATTAAAAACGATATAACATAACATATGGCCTTTTTATCCCCGAAGGGGTAGGCAGAGGTGCACATTGCGGCACTTAATGCCACTGTACAATGTAACACCCACTTTTCACTATTTATGTTATTAGTCTCATGTAATAGGGGGTGAGCCTATTGCCATATACCGGGCACAATTCCAACCTCCATGCCACTACTGAGGTATTTAAAAAAAAACCCGTAATACTTTGCCCGACTCGAAAATCGAACCCGAGAGCCCTTGCCCGGTAGTCTTGCGACCACTCGGCCAACAAGGCAGGAATTAAAAACGATGTTCTTCGCAAGAAGGCTCGTTACAATTGTGTGAACAAATATTTTTGGAAACACCATGTTAATAATTCAAAAATTATTAGAAAATGAGAACTCTCAGGTTTTTACTGTTTAATAACTATACAAGCTACCGATTCTGAAAATAGCCCGAGTCGCGGAGAACCTAACGGGTAACCGGATCGACGTGCAGGAGAAGGAACGGGGTGGTTTTTAGTCAGTAAGAGTCTGACACTCCCTCCCGCCTCACCCAGGCGGGAGCAGTCGTACGATGATTTTCCCCCGTTAAAAAAAAAGCCCGAAATAGGTACCTAAAACTACTCCTGTAAAAAATTCCTAAACACGCCGTATAAGCCTAAAAACGCCACATCGATATTGTACTATTCTGTCGGTATTTGCTAAAACTTTACCAACTATGCAAATATTCACGTCAGACCGACGTTTGGTGGATATCGAAATTGTTCTCGAATATTCTCACTTCGAGGTGACTTGTAGTGACAAGCATCTGGAATGTGGACATGTCTAAACTAAGTGCATAGTTTAGAAGATTTTTGAAGTAGTTTGTGTTAGAAATCTTATAGATTGTGAAACTGTTGTATGTTAATACCTGATGGTATACTATGGATGACTGGCAGAGAATGCTGTTAGCATTAAGTCTTCCTTATGCAATTGTATAAAACTTAAATAAATATATTTACCTCCTACTAGGAAGCTATAGTAGTTAGACAATTGGGATGATGACAGGGTATGAAAATTAAAAATGTAATTAGTAAGTTAGGTAATGAAAAAATATTGGACACGTATTTTTTTATTTTGTCGTATAACAAAACAATACTTATATAAAACGAATCAAAGGTTAAAGGTAGGAGTAGGGGCTTTTTTTTTTAAGGGGGGAAAATCATCGAATGACTGCTCCCGCCTGGGTGAGGCGGAAGGGAGTGTCAGACTCTTACTGACTAAAAACCACCCCGTTCCTTCTCCTGCACGTCGAGCCGGAGCCCCGGTTACCCGTTAGGTTCTCCGCGACTCCGAATCGGCATCGGCCCTATTGGGCCCCATCTGTGGTGGTCTGATGGCTCTTTGAGGCGCGCGCGGAACGCGACGCGCCGTACGCTCGGGTCTGTTTCTGGTCGGACGGGGAGCCACCCATGCTCGCCGTCCGCAGGCTCGCGCTTACGGTGGCCGGAGATCGTCCCGCGATCCCCGACGCCCGGTGTGTCCTTCGCGATGGCTGGGTTGCGAGGAGGCAGCGCTTCGCTGCCTCACGCGTCCCGCCTCCTCCTTAGCCAGCATGACTGCTTCGCAAAAGGAGGAGACGGCATCCCAGTCCCCCTCGCTCCGCATCATGGCCTGCACTAGGCCCGGACGCGAGAGGTCTCCATCGCCGATCACTTCCCTGAGGGCACGGCGGTGCTCAGCCCACGCAGGGCATTCCGCAACAGTGTGTTCCACCGTGTCCTCAGGGTGGTCCTCGCAGTGATGACACCTGGGCGTTTCCTCCCGCCCCATCAGACACAGGTACCTGCCGAAACTTCCATGTCCGGTGAGGACCTGCGTCAGGCGGTAGGTGAGGACGCCGTAGCGTCTCTCAAGCCACTCCTCAAAGAGGGGACTTACCGCTGCAATGGCAGCGAGCCCAAGGAGTAGGGGCTAAACGTCATTTCTACGAATAAAATGTACATAGATAGAAGTGACGCCACGCGACATTTCAAATCAATATATCGTCGAAAGTATTCGTTTCTGTAAGATATTAAAACATACGTGTCTAATGAATTCAAATAATCTAGTATAGCGGATATTAAAATAAAAATTAGGCATCTACCCTATTGTGTATCCTAATGTGCAGCGCGATGGGACAAGAATTTTTTTTATTGTTATACATCATGAAAATACGTTGTTGATTGGGTGTGGTCGATCGCAAGTGTGACTACCAAAATAGGGTTTTCATGGCCAGGTCTAGCAAATTACTACCAGGGGTTTTTAGAATAGAATCTGTATTTGAAAATAAGCTTTTTGCGCTACTATAATAATCATTTTAAGACCCTTTTGTATCACCAAAAAGCACACGAATACATACTTTGACTTTGACTTAACTCTTTCCTTGTCTTTCTTGGTGAGGTATTAAAGGTGTTCCTTGAACTATAACGGTTCTCCCATTAAAACTATGAATAAACAGGCTTGTGCCCGCGACTTCGTACGCGCAATCCCGTTTTCTCCTATTCCCGTAGGATTTGCAGGATTTTTTTCTGTCATAAGAACCTTTTCCTGATCATAACAACCGCAACAAAAAATATCTGCGAAATCGGTCCAGCCGTTCCCAAGTTATGGCGTGACAACGGGAAACGGGTTTCATTTTTATATAATTACTAGCGGACCCAACAGATGTTGTCCTGCATATCCACTTGAATGTATAAACAAAAATTCATTCAAATTAGTTCAGCTGTTTAGGATAAATAACCTAAACATCGACTGCAATGCCATCTGCCGGGATAATTTGTGATTCTAAACCATTCCCAGATCCCCTTGAAAACACACAAAAAATTTCATCAAAATCGGTCCAGTCGTTTGAGAGAAGTTCAGTGACATACACACTCACAGAAGAATACATAACATAACATAACATAACATCACGCCTTTTTATCCCCGAAGGGGTAGGCAGAGGTGCACATTTCGGCACTTAATGCCACTGTACAATGTAACACCCACTTTTCACTATTTATGTTATGAGTCCCATGTAATAGGGGGTGAGCCTATTACATACAGTCGTTTGAGAGAAGTTCAGTGACATACACACTTACAGAAGAATTATATATATAAAGATAAGGGTAAACAAACCTTATAATTCCTGCTAATATTGCTTCTAACAGTTCCATGACGCCAATGGTAGTAACCGAGGTCACTGTCCCTCGGCCATAGAGTCTTGCCTTGCTTGAAGAATGCGGTCCAGTTCTCAGAGATCAGCCTGTGAGCGTAGTCTATGTACCCTGATATCTCGAAACCCCCTCTTGTGTAGTGGCGGATGAAGATTATAGACTAAAAAGAAAAATAGATAAACGTTCCTGGGAATCAGATCCATCCATATTGAATTTGAACAATTACAACATTAACTAAAAATCGCATAGGTAATGATCGCGTGAATATACTGAGAAAAGCTGTACTAGTTTCGAACCAGAGAGGGATTCTTCGTCATGAGCAGCGTGCGCGGTCGCGGCGATGTTGCGCAGCCTACTCAGTCTTGTATATTCACGTGAGTAACCCGCGATTAGTTAATTTAGTATGTCTCACGATAGTTATTATAAATTACGACATTATTAAGAAATTATGTGGTTAATGTTTTCTTTGAATCTATGATTTACTACTGTATCCTGAATGAGTTTACACAAAAAATTCACATAGACTCACATCACACTCAAGTACACAACACAGAAAATGTGAAATATAAGTAATATAACGATTGATTTCTGAAACCAAATTCGTTATTCGTTGCGTATCATCTATTACCCAACCATTAGGATAACCGAAAAGCTAACTTAAACTTTATGTACAAATTAGCAAATTTCAAATTAGTACCTGTAGAATTCCAACTCTATTAGCGCGCTCTCTTACAGCCAGCTCTCTATTGAAGGAATCCTCTAAGTTTGCTCCTTCACTGACAAGGACGTACGGCTTTCCTTTAGGATATACTATCTCATGAATAGCAGATCGGCGGCTGTAGAATTCCCGTTCTGATAGGGTATCTCCGTATGCTCTGAAAATTCAAATTAGTGTTATATACAGTATTTGTGGTTGATAAATATTTGTGAGTTAAATGTAATATATAAAATTTTCGTGTCACAGTTTTCGTTGCCATACTCCTCCGAAACGGCTTGACCGATTTTGATGAAAGTTTTTGTGCTTATCCGGTATCTATGAGAATCAGCCAACATCTATTTTTCACCCCCTCAATGTTAGGGGTAGTCTACCCCTAAATTTTTTTCGAGATTGCGCGTACGAAGTCGTGGGCAGAAGCTAGTAGTATTAATAATATTTCTTCTATATTTAAACTGATTGACGAAAATACTAATTACTGCGTCTATCTAACATCTCAGAAGCCAAACGATAAAAAAATTGGAATAAGCTGCCTTGAATCAGTTTGTGAATTTATTCTATTTGTTCTGTACAATAATACGGTACACGCATCCAAGTACCTGTATCCAAGAGCAGCAATAGTTCTCGCAGAAGCTATGCTCCTCAAATTCCTAAGGTCAGCAATTTCTATAAGCGAATCCAGATAATCTTCCCACGTATCGAAACGAAGCAGCTTTCTATCAGCTTCGACCCCTGGTGGGTACTCATTTTTCTTTTCAGCCATCGCCATTTTTGATTATTATTATTATAAACTCACTGTAAAATAAACCTAAATTAAAATTGATAGTAAAATTCAATGTAAATTTTTTTGATAACCAATAGATTTTTTGACAGCACCAAATGCTGTGTGACACTGACACCTGAGACGGCAGCCATATTGGATTTTGTCTCGCGATAAATTAGAGGTTTTATACCGATTAGGTTTTTCAAGAAGGTTACGTAAAAGAAGGGTATTCACTTCGCCGTCAATCGCCGTCTATATTTTAATTTAGTAAACGAAAAGCAAGAACAGCTTATTTTTTGTATAGAGGAGATTATGGTTATAAATTTATTTAACGTCTTAAGCGTTGATACTCATTTATTTTATCTTTTCCTGGTAGGTTAAAACTTAAGTAGAACTCAGGTGGCATATCCTTAATTTAGCAATATACTTTTTTATATCTAACAGGCTAGATTAAACTTACACACTGCATAGTAGAAGATGTGCCTATTGCCACACACACTATCACTGCATGATCCTAAGACGAACCAAAGTTCAGTGTTCCGGTGTTTTCATGGTTGTATCTACTGTAGATGGGCTTACGGGAGTTGCAGCAGTCTTGGGAAGTTGCTGCGGGCTTGGCCCAAAGAAAAAAAAGTACTATTACTACATATAAACTTTTCATTCTTTAATGTAAGCTACAGTGCACTGTACAGTTTTAATTGTACGGTTTAAGTGTTTGCTCTGTACACCTTACTATTTAACTGTACCTACAGTTCAATTGACTGGATGGTTGGTGCGGTGGCTGGGCAACCCGCTGCCGTGCAACGTGTCGCGGGTTCGAATCCCGCACGGAACAAGACTTTGTGTGATCCACAAATTGTTGTTTCGGGTCTGGGTGTCATTGTGTATGTGAACTTGTATGTTTGTAAACGCACCCACGACACAGGAGAAAATCATAAAGAGGAGCAATGTTTTTTTTTAAAGTGGTACAATTCGCACGTAAGGTGTGTACCATAAGGTTTATTACAAGAGAAATATTATGCCTTTTTTGCCAAAACCTAGTACTGAAAAAGTCTAAAGAAATAAACCAACAATACTCTCAAACAATGCTAAGTTAGTACCTAGTTCAGTAGCATCACTGAAAAGGCTGAACCTTAATATTTTATACGCAAACAGTATTCGATTCGTATTACATTTTCATTGTCTTTCAGGCATCCCTTTGGTATTGGTTTAAATATTAATATGTCTCTATGTATCTGATCTTGTAACCTCTTTGCTATGTTAATATTATCTTCATATTTATTTATGCTTCACACCGGTTTTTGGAAGGCTTGGCCTTGGCAAACAGTGATACCAACCTCTTATATTTGTTCTAGTTAAGTTAAGAATTGTAGTCAATATTAATTTAAGCGTGGGAGAGCATACTTCAGCACGAATGGGCCAGCTCGACCGGAGTGACACCACGGCCTCACAGAAAATCGACGTGAACCGAATGCTTACGTTGTGTTTTGTCGTGTGAGTGAGGTTACCGGAGGCCCAATTACCGAATCTCCACAATCTTCAAATTTCCAATTCCCAAAAGGCCGGTAACGCAATTGTAGCGCCTTGGTGTTTCAGTTGTCCATGGGCGACGCTGATTGCTTACCATCAGGTGATCCGTCTGCTCGTTTACCGGCTTATGCGATAAAAAAATGGCTAACATATTCTTATAATAACTATCGTGACACATACTAAATTAAATAAAAGCGCGACGTCGTCGCGACCGCGCACGCTGCTCATGAGGAAGAACCCCTCTGTGGTTCGAAACTAGTAGAGCTTTTCTCAGTACATTCACGTGAGTAACCCGCGATTTTAGTAAATTTAGGCAAAAATATTGTTCACACAATTATTACATTCCTCCACCGCAGTCGTATAAAATTAATATGATCGTTTCTGAAACAAATCTGATTGTGATAATATTCAGAGAATTGTAACAAAACAGGCAACGTAAAGACTAATTGTTTCCAGAAATATTATTTAAAACTTACTATCAATATTGACTAGTGAGTCAATGTTATAGAAAGAGCTCAGTATAGTTGGGCTCCATAGTGATGGAGCCCAACTATTCTGAGCTCTTTCTATATTGAGCGTAGAAGTGGTATGCTTACTTTTCCAACTCCAATTTTCTCTTTACTCAGTTAGCTCCTTAACCAACTTGAGTAGTTATAATTTCTTCTTACTAGAACTATAATAGTGGCTTAAGTTGTTACTGGTTGACTTACAACACACAATTGTGTTCGTTAAATCTTACGTAAAGTTAAACTTTACACAATAGACTTGTATTTCTAACTTAGAAGTGGAAACTTATTCCTTTCGATCCTCTTAGTTTTGTGCTTGTGTATGTAAGTAGATTATTTTTAATGTTAAACATTGTATTCTATATTCCGTGGTTAAACATGTCAAGAATAGTTACTGAAGTTATACATTGTGATTTGTAATTCGAACACAATCTTGTATGAAGTTGAAGATTTTGTTTTTTCAATTTTAGAATTACAGCGGGCGTCATTTTCCAATAAGGTAGATGCCTAATTTTTATTTTAATGTCCGTCTGGTAGATTATTCTAAATCATTAGACACAAATTTTTTATGTTCTTACAGAAACGAATACTTTCGACGATATATTGATTTGAAATGTCGTGTGACGTCACTTTTATGTGCATTTTATACGTAGAAATGACGTTTTCGCCCCCACTCCTAAACTTTAATTCATTTTATCTAAGTATTATTTTATACAACAAAATAAAAAACTTACATAACTTACGGACTAAATAGATTTTTAATTTTTATACCCCGTCATCATCTCAATTAACACTAAAAGTTAAATATTTTAATAACTGTTCATTACCGCCTATCCCTTTGTTCGATAAAAATGTTGGAATTGATCTGTTCTTAACTCCATTCGAAATTACAAGTCATAACCTGTATAAATACATTTACTTAACCATCGGCGAATAATTGTTAAGTTTTATATTCTGTATTAGCCTTTACTTCTGTTTATAAACCAAATTACAGTATTTTTACTATACGGGCTACTGCATTTTAAAAAGCGTAGCGGGTATCATATAGTTGTTATATATAAATGGGCAACTGGACCTAATTCCTAAATTAAAGCGAGGCACATTTCAGTCTCCAACGATATTTGATTAATTTTAAACTTTAATTTATTAATAACGTTACACAATAACAGTCCTTACGTTAAATGCCTAACGTTGAAAACTAATTTACATTCGCTTGAAAATATAAGAAACACGTGAGTGATTTACGATTGGCCATGTCCCTTAGGGCTGAAGGTTGAATAGGATCTGTTGAAACAGACCTGTCTCAGCACTGAATTGGATCTAGATTTATTACAATATTCTTGCCAATAAATATTAGTCGCAAAATAGTCTGTCTTTTGTTTAAGTAGATGTGTTTAACTGTATAAGTCCTACTTACTATTTGTTAATGTATCTTCAGCCAAAAATAAGTCTCCGACGCAACCAACTTGGGTTCATCGTCATCAGCCTGCATTCGTCCACTGCTGGATAAAATCCTCTCCAATAGCACGCCACTGAGCTCGGTCTTCAGCTCCTCTCACCCAACCACCTCGCGGATATCCCCAGTCCACCTAGCTGAACGGTACCCTACACAACGTTTACCTAGACCCAGGATCCTATTTGGGTTAAAAATATTTAAAAAATCACCTATTTTATTTTATTTAGAACAATTTTATTTAGAAGATCATTCTAAAACAGCTTTGCTTAATTTCGATCCATGTCTGATTTAGGCAAGGAGCCAATGCAAATCAAACCTTTGTCCACAGCAACAAAGTTGAAATTGATGTCACTGTTGCCGAAGCGTGTACATGCATGTTTTATCTCCCGTTTTGCTTGAGCGCGCATGCATTCTTATTTATCGCTGCTCGGGTAACTATTCAATGTATTCAATTGCTTTACAGCTGTATTCTCCGCTGTTTCGCTTCAAGCTTATAAATGCAGCTGCTGAATTTGCAATGAACAAAGTTGTTTTCTAACGATGACTGTTTGGTTTACATATCTAGCTATTGTGGCTTTTGTTTATTAAGGAATTTACCAATTTTGGAATTAAAAACTTCGTATTTCTGAAATTAGCCTATCTACAGAGATTGAGAGCTTGTCTGCATGTAAATTAATTTTGAATTTTCTTGTAAACGAGCAGATGGATCGCCTAATGGTAAGCAATCGATGTCGCCCATGGACGCCTGAAATACTAGAGGCGTTACAAGTGCGTTACCAGTCTTTTGGGGATTAGGAATTAGAGTTTGTTGAGAATACAGGGATTGGGGAGATTGGGGATGGAGGGGGCGAGTAATTGAGCTTCTGGTTACCTCACTCACTCGACGAAACAATGCAAGCGTTGTATGACGTCGGTTTTCTCCGAGGTCGTACTGCTCTCCTACACTTTGAACGGAAAAAAAATCTTTGTCTTTAATATCCCGGTTTAACTTTCAGGCTAACTTCCACCTATTCTATTATTCTTTCGAGGATTCTGAACATGTCCAGACAACTATAAGTGCATCTTAAAGGAACAACAATCATCATAAAATGAAAAAGTATATTAACCGCATGCTTTAGTACCTAGCTCTCTAGCTCATAAACTGTGAAACCTAAATACCTTTATATGAACGAGCGCAGCTTACAACTTCTGATGTTGGATACTTATCAAATACGTGAGTAGGAGAGCCATGCTTGCACAGATGGGCCGGCTTGACCAGAGTGATACCACGGCCTTACAGAAAACCGACGTGAAACAACACTCGCGTTATGTTTCGTCGTGTGAGTGAGGTTACCGAAGCCTCAATCCCCTCCCTAATCTCTCCAAGCCCCGAATCCCCAAATCCCCAACAATCCTCAACTTCCCAATCCCCAAAAGGCTGGTAACGCACTTGTAATGCCCCTGATGTTTCATTTGTACATTGGCCTTGCCGATTGCTTACCATCTGTTCGTCTGTTCGTTTACCGGCTTATTTC